TATATATATATATATATATATATAGTCAAATGACTGTTCCTAATACACATGGTCATTACTTATACTCGAAGACATCGCATATGGTCACGTGTATTTTGCAAACGAAAAACCTTTTTCGTTGATAAAACCATCACCTTTCCTCTGACTCCTCTGAGTGGAAGTCTACCATATACAGGGCCGGATTCCCAGCAAGGCCACCAGGGCCTGGCCTCGGGGCGGCACTGGGCAGAGGGGCGGCACAGGTTTGAATCACCCGACAAACAATTGGGGTGAATTTACAACGAATGGCACCGCAACGCAATGCACACAGACCAGCAGCATTGCCATGCACTAACACCCTTTTTTAGCGTCAGTTGTCGCAATGTGTGAATTGGCCCTTGTTAGCATTTACCAAAAAAGTGAATATCAGTTTTGGAAACATGCTATAATAAAAGGTTTCACAGCACCAAGTTCCCTTTGTAACCCATACTGTATATACCGCAGTGATTCGGGCATCACGTCATAACAGTTTAGTCTTTCTACCACTCACAAATATTTACCATATTTACTTCTGGATGAGGCATCAGCTACATAAGAGATCTGTAAACTCTACTTGCCAGGAAAATAATCCCTTTGCTGACAATTGCTTCTTTTGCAGGACTTTTACATGCTATTAAAGCGAGACTAGATCTCTCCCATGTAGCTGACCCTAATGCATAATACAACATTATTCAGTGCTCCTGATTTCCCATTCCATAACGAGAATACATCAAATAAAAAGGTGCTGTGATAAAAAAACATAAAAGATCTTTGAGTGCTCCGATCCGTGACGGATCATGGATGTCCCAGTGATTCCGTGTGGAACGGCCTAACAGTGGCAAGGTGCAGTAAGAGTGCAGATAATCTGGAGGGATAAAGGAGCAGGGTCAAACATCCACCTAACATGCCACTGACCTGCGAATGGACACTGGCAGGCATCGACAATAAAGGGACCTTGTAGCTGTTGAACAATCCACCTCTCCCAGATAGTGTCACTGCAAGGCAATGATGTGGAGGAGTCCCAAGGTTGGGCCGCAGAAAAACAAACAAACAAACAAGCAAAATAAAGTGTATGGGAAAATGAAATAGAGGATGAGTGAGAGCTGCAGGATGGAAGAGCGCAGAGCATGAGATAAATTAAAGGGCCAGTAAAGTTGACATTATCTGAGAAGATATTGTGGGGCATCATTAAATAACCATAGACACATACTATCTGCTGGCTATAGACATTGATGGTTCCGCATTTGTCAGTGTTAAAGTGTATGCCTTGGCTTAAAAAAAAATATGCAGTACATCTCCACAATCTATCCAACACATTTCCCCATGTTTTATCTCTTTAAAAAAGCTGAACGTAAAGAAAGCTGCCTGTTCATCTTCTAGAAATCCAGTGAGCTCCTAACTTCCTTTTTGGGCTGGCAGCACAGCCTCTGTTGCAATTAAATCCCAAGTAGTGTCGTCATATCCGCCTGAGTTATCCCTCCTGGACTACACAACCAGGGCCACCCCTAACCTTTTTACCACCTGAGGTGGCCAGGAGAGGGTGCTGAGCTGTGAGCCAGGCGGGAGGTAACAAGCGAGGTGGCGGGTTGCCGAGCTGGAGGTGGTGGGCGGTTGAACTATCAGCTGGGGGGGAAGGTGCTGTTAGTCGCCCGTGCTGCTGACCCCCAATTAGATGCCCCATTATGGGAACGCCCCTGTACACGAACCCTACCCTTATGCTAGGAAATCTATAGTGCAACAGAAGAGAACTAGGCAGGGCTGACAACATTGATTGGGATTTCAGTGCAGCAGAGGCAATGTTGTCAATGTTTCATTACAGGAAGTTAGGAGCTCACTGGATTTCTGACAGATCAACAGCTTTTTAAAGTGTTAAAACGTGGGGAAATGTGTATGTATTGCAGAGATGTGCTGAAAACATACACTTTAAATAGAATGAGTTTAGTTATACTCTTAGCAACCCAGAAGACCTTAGAAACCACCATTGTTTTAGGTAACAGTACACCAGTCATGAACAAAATGTTTAAGTGGTCATTCTGTAAATGCTATTTGCTTGGCTGTCTCTAACTTGAATACTTCTGAGAACAATCAGTGTACACCAAAGTGTCAGTACGACATACAGGCAATTAGCATTTTATTCAAGTGTACTTTAAGATCAGTGACATAAACGTACTGGCCCCAGAGACTTCCCAACACGCTGTAGTCTTTGTCCAATTTCACATATTTTACAGAACATATATACATAGATATATCTATATATATATGTAAAGAGAAAGTGTTAGAAAGACCTGTTGTAGGTCTTTCTAATAGGGCAGAACTTAACTTGGAGTAAGGCCTCGTGCACATAGACATCTAAGGCTGTAAAATGTAAATTATGAGCATATTTCCTGCCAGGAATTACACGGAATACACAGCTATGGCTTAAAGCCACCCATAGTATTGATTGGTCAGCCACCCATAGTAGCGATTGGCTATAGGCAGCTGTACGGTCATTTATGTATCTACTTTCATAAACCTGTGCATGCATAAAGCTGTATGCCCCTAGAAGCAGGCTAGCTGAGTCCAAGGTTGTAGGCCCATATGCATGTGCATATTTACGCTAATAGATGCAAAAACAAGTGTATAGCTTCCTATAACAAATCACTACTATAGGCAGCTGTACACCATAGCTGTGTAATACCAGGTATAGGTAAATGCCCATCATTTATGTTCTATGGCCTCCCATGACCCAATTATGCTTGACCTCACAGTTCAGCATGTGACCGGCTCTTGTTAAAACCTCCTATGTTGACAGTTTACATTGCTCCTCCGAACGGCCCACGTCACACTAGGGATTCTGGCAAAGCGGGCAACTGTCCCCAGAATCACCAGAGCGACATGGGCCAAACAGAGAGTGGAATCCGTCATTCTGCACTAGAACGCAGATGAAGAATGGCTTGACATAACTGGATAGTGCATTTTACATTCTAATTGTTAATTTAAATATATAGAAGCAATGAAAGCCAAATAACATCCAATATACTTTGAGCATACTGGGAAACGTCTGGGCATAAAAAACCTTCAGAAACGTATTGTCAGGCCGATAAAAGCTGACAATCCGTTCACCCCGCCGTCACTGTAGTCTTCGGATTAGAAGGATAAAATACAGCGGCCGTAAGGTTCTTGGCAGCTCACAATACAGAGCCATTGTAAGCTTGGAAACTACAATTTTCCATACCGCAGTAAGTTCTCGTAACCTGTACTAAGCTCTTTAACTTTAGTGGCCCTTTAAAAAGGAATAAAACCAAGCTATGGATTTCATGTTTTGATTCAGTAAAATAATGTAACAAAAATGCCGAATGTAAGCCACAAAACACATCGCTATATGAGAGCAGAAATCTTTCCTGGGAGAGCAGCCTTCTCTAATGTGCACAGAGAAATATCTGTAATTATCTTTTATGGGAAGAGATATTAGAGGTAACACGATAACAGGCTTATGGGTAAATAACTTCATTCTAAGAAAATATACTTCGCTACAGCGAACATTGAGGATTTAAATGGCTGCCTCGTTATACAAAGAAGACATGTTACTGCAATTAAAGGAAGAATTCCAGATTTTAGGACAAAACAAAGCAGTGATCGAGTCAGCTGCTTCCATATCATGAAATAGGTCTATACCAATTTTCTCAAGTCCATTAACATTTAGCATGGAGGGTCAATGGATGATAATCAGGGAAGACTAGAAAACACAATATATTCTCTTCACTATGCAAATTCCACAAAAGTGAACAGCAGCAAACTTTGGCAGATAATATATCAGCAAAGTATTTTAAATCCCATTCACACCGGTGTGCATTAAAGCCCATTCTGCATTATCATCTGCATTAATACAATATACAGTAACAGTAAGGTATATGTGTGTTGCCATTCATTTTCAATGGCACCCAAATGCACCTTGGGATAATAGGGTACAGGTATATTTTATCATGTGTTAAGGCCGGTTAAATGTGCATGTAAAGAAGAAGTATTGGGAGAGTAAAACATATACTCTCCCCAATACTTAGAGTCGTTGTGGGATACTGCAGCTGTCACAAGCTGATCAGTCATGTGACTGCTGTTCAGGGCCATCCCTAAAATGAGGCAGCCTGAGGCAGTTGCCTTCAGTGGCATCTCATTGGGTCACGTGGTGGGGGGCTGGCAAAAGCTCTTAGCAACTAGTGATACTCTGGCTGATGTCTCGCCCTGCTCACTGACATCACTGGTTGCCAGTAGCTAAGAGGGATGCTCCAACTGCTGTCCCACCCAGCTCCAGGCAAACAGTGATGTCAGTGAGTAGGGCAGGATGCTGGATTCCCCCCAGACATGCATCACTAGCACCCACAACCCTCCATCCAACCCCCGAACCTGCACCGCAAGCACACGCACTCCTATCCCACCTCCCTCCTCAGGAGGCAAGACGATTGGCTGAAGATGCTGTCATTCATCTGGCTGCACTACGCTTACACACTGCATGTGAAGCTCCGTGCCCGATAGCTTTGCTTCGCTCTGTACAGCTTCGCATGCAGTGTGCACTCTCATAGGTTTCCTTCAGTATACAGCAAGAGGCCACGGCAAATAGTAAGTCTGCAACTTTTTATATCCTAAAACACTGCCTTTTTATCATACATGCCAAGTCTATGTAAGATGTATATATTAGTTCTTATAATGAGAATTATATTAGGTTGCCTCTTATATCTTGCTCATGGGATGTTTGTAATGGTGTGTAAGGAGACCATTAATTAGCATTAATTAGCACCTTCTAAAAGCTTACCATTTTGCACTTTTTCACTTACCGATATACTGCTAGCATGCTAGCTATAGCTCTTTACAATGTAGACAGAGCCTTTCATGTTAGTCCCTGCCCCGGAGGAGCTTACAATCTATTGCTCTTGCCAAACACACTTGCTCTATGGCTATGAAATCAGAATGGAAGCCAAGCAAACTATGAGGAAGCCATAGCACATGGTGACAGCATATGAACATGGAGTATACAATATAGTGACCCTGGAGGGACTGAACTAGGACTTCTGTGCTACAAAATAGTTCTGACCCTTAAGCCACTGTGCTGCCTATAATCAGCATCAAAGGGAACTAAGAGCTAAACGTGGCTCCTGAAAATCATGGCAGTCAGTTATGTTTTTTGTTTTCTCACCTGTGCTAGAAAACTAACAAATTATTACCTGCTGTGACACAAAAAGAGCTTTTTTTTACAGTGGTATTGTAAGGCCTTCAACAAAAAACCTGTTGGGAAGAAGCATGTTTATCATTCAGTTACCTCTTGCGTGTCCTAGTGTTTGTGTGTCCATGTCATCATCAATGAACTCCTCTCCCTGGATGATGTTCTGTGTGTCCTCGCTGTGGTTCACAGGACTTGTCATCTCCTGCTCCTTCTCATTGTGCATTTGAGCATAGACATTCCTGCCAGGCATTTTCCTGTGTTGGGCACAAAGACAAAGTTTACCCATCATGTGTGACTACTAGCGCTGCATGTAAATTTGGAACTGCTGATCCGTAAACCGAATGGATTCATGATGTGTTCTAAGTACGCAAATGACTGTCTTTACCAGCAGCATTTTTTTGGCTCGTTTACCAAAGAAATCTAATTCCCACATTATCTAAACTCCGAGCACTGTCATGATCTTAAAAGTAAAAAGACAAGCCTGGGCCAGAAGATAAAGTGGACATAAAGTGAAAAAGTAAAGATTTGCTATCTTATAGGAAACATCAAGAAATTTTAATGCCTAAACAGTACAATGAAAAAAATCTACCCTTTGTCTTGAATTTGCCTGTAAAATAGTAGTGTACTTCCTGTACCTACAGCCTTAAAGATGCATATCTGCAGTGTGATATGTAAAGTACTGCGCCTCTGACTGCACCTTTCACAATATTTGATGTGAGATTTACTGATGGCACTATTGTGCTGCTCACTGTTCTCCTTGCTGGAGAGGAAACTGTAAATAAGGACCTGTAGTGAAGGATCTCCCTGCTTCATTCATTCTGTGGATCTCTGATTTCTAAACCTCTCATGCTGTTTTTTTGATTCCCTCATCAATCATTTGATCACCAGTCATAGGGGGGCAGTCAGTAATGGGGAAAAGATCAGCTACAGGAAGACCGCAGGCAATACTTGTGACTAGTCATTTGATCTCTGCTTCCCTTTTTGGGCACAGCTGGCACATATCAAGTCCTCTTTAGTGTTCAACAATACACAAAAATCCACCATAATTAAAACCCAACTTGGACAGCGCCAGTCCTTCATACTCTCCTACAGTCCCATTAGTAGCTATTTATGAAACTTGTGAAACATTTATCAAAACAGAGCCTGAAAACCATTTCTGCACTTTGCTTATTATTAACATTACAAAGAATGTTAAAGTCTTTGGTAAAGTAATATGACCCTCAAAGAACATGCTCTTCAGAAAACAAAGTACAAAATACACAGGAAATGCTTTATTAGATTTCCCTATCACTGCTCCCTCACATACAAAGCATATTACTACAATTCACAACCACAAGCATGTCTAAAGTAGGGAATGCAAGGATAGAATTTAGAATTAATAAAAAATCGAATTCGGAATGTTCGTTCGACTTTCTAATCGTTACTCGGGTCAAATCGACGATCGTTTCCGACCACAGTAACGAAAAAATTTGAAGGAGCATGTTGAAGATTGTTTTCTCAATCGAACAAATTTCTAACACTGAATGTAGTTTTGGTTCGGAAACTCCATTATTCTGAAATTGAATGTTAAATAAAAACAGTAATTAAAAGAAATTTAATTTGACAATCTGCCAGTATCGAACGTTCAACGAGATTTTTCGTATGGCCGTTCGTGCGAACATCTACCCGTGTATACCCTTCTTTGGTATCCATTTCCTGACTGTGGACAGACTAACCATAGGTCTTTTGGATAAATGTATATAAATGGTGAATTTGCTGATGGACTTTTTTTATGTCTTTTATCAACGTCATTCATCTCACGCACTAAAGCTGAACACTACAGTGTTATATATAACAGATTCCTCCATCCACACCAAACAGCGTGGATGGACAAATCTCCCGCTATCAGAATACCCCAACAGTGACGGCAGTTGATTGGCGGCCATGACTGTTTGTTTACCAATTTTCCATCAGGCTCCTCCAATTTTCTGATCAAAGGATGTCGAATGGAAGGGTGCCATCAGAGGTGCCCACTGTGTGAATTTCAGCCGGTTCATCAAGTGTATGACCAGCTTTGGCTATGAAGGTGTATAATCTGTTACCAATCTATTCAGTTCTGTATTACTAGCACAACATTAAACTAGCTATATGTAACTTGGAACACCAGGCTTAATCTCACCACCTATCACCTGCACAAGGGTAACATAAAAATGTTTTGGCTTGGTCTACTTAACTTGCCTTGCTGTATATTTTCAATCAGAAATGTACAGCAAGGCAAGTTAAGTAGATCAAGCCAAAAATTAGATTCTTCGGTTGACATGGGGCAATGACTGGAGCAATCAGTAATTACAGTCTTGATGATGAATGTCAATCATTTTTCATCTATAAGTAAATCAACAGTTTATAATGTAGTTTTTATTGCATAATTTGTTTTGGACTTGCCTTTTGAACTTATAAAGTATGAAGGCACCAACTGCTACGATGAATATGGAGAAGATGACGACTATGGCCCAGTACCCTCCAGTTCCTCCAGTTACCCGGGAGTCTGTAAAGAGAACACTCTGATTAGATACACAACTACACATGGCAAACTATTGGCAGCAATGTGGGCTGACATCTCTGCTACTACCCACAACTGTCCATACACCTAAAAAAATTAGGAACCCATAAACACAGCTGCAAAGTAGCAAAATGATAAATGTTAACGATCAGTTAAAAGACTCTCTTTAAGACTCTATCTAAAATCACAGTAATACATTGAGGGCAGTTTACTGTATTAGAAATTAAAATGTATTTGTTTACAGTGTATGTCAATTCTTTTTTTAGTTTTAGAAAGCGAAGGGAAGGGTTAAAACTCAGGTTTATTTTTGCTATTTGTTTTGCTTGGGAGATTTTTCTTCTCCTCCTGTCCAGCAGATCCAACTGGAATGAATGGAAATCTCTCCAAAGTCAACCTAATTCCCATCTTAGAGAATTGTCTCAGGAACATGTGTGCCCATTAGACATCTCATGCTCTAATGACAACTCAATTTCTACCTTAGTAACAATGCTCACCGGGACAGATAGAGGGGTGGATCTCCCCAGTAGGGTCATAGACAGCCATCAAGACCTCTAGGGCCTAACCTATCCTAACTCTATCCAAAGCAAAAACAAAAAAAAACGTTGCCTTTACATACACCCTGATGGCTTTGTTTTGTTTTTGGTTTATTTGCATTTGTAGTCCAGTAACGTTTGTAAAAAGTGGAATATTACCTGCCTCACTAGAATCATGGGGTAGATAATGAACCTCATCCTACCAGGGTGGGGAGGATAGCTGGTCTGCCTCTAGTGCTGGGACTATCCCAGGAATTTCCACACCTCCTCTTTGGGCACCTTTGGCACAAAGCTGTTTGTGCATAGGGGAAATGCATGCAGTTTTTGGGCCATTTCCTCCTCAAATACTAGTACAATTCTGTTGGACATAAGTGCTGGTATCAGTGTAGAAGGAAGTTTCTATATTGCTTCCTTAAAGAATCATCTATAAAGGTGCCCATACACTCTTCAACCCTTGCAAGACTTTTGTCTTGCGAGGGCTGTAAAGTACTTAAAAAACGTACGATCTGCCCATCTTGGACAGGCAGATCGTACTTGCGATTAACGCAAGCCCGCCCCCCTGAGGGGCAGGCTTCCAATGACTGCAATGCTGAATGGGCAGTGTTCGGCTGTTATCTCTCGATCATGTTAAAACCCAGCCGAACATCGTACGGTTCTCAGCTGGTTTTCCAACATGTTCGAAATACAAAATTCGTGCGACCGTACATTAGAAACGGTTGCACGCCTTCCATACACTGCACGATTATCGTAGGATTTCCCGCGATTCTCGTACAAGAATCGTGCAGTGTATGGGCACCTTTAGTGTACCAGGGAACGAGTCTGATTCAGGTCAAGTGTGTCGTTACATGGAGGAAGGCCCCCTGCTTTTGCAGGCTATCTGCATTTCTATATTGGAGCCAAGACCTTCCTGGATACACAGGGATATGTACTGTTTACTACATTGCAGAGCCCACCGCAGGACATAATTCTTACGATGTAGGTGAACATTGTTTAATGGTAATTTTCAGGGTTAATCACTTAAGGGTGAAGAGTTTGCAGAATGCAGGATAAGTGAATAATCCAGGAAAACATAGCTGAACTGGAAGGTGAGCTGAATTGGAGAGTTTTTCCAAATCAGCTTTTTTGGCCCAGATTGTTCACGTCTCCTGCCTTCTTCTAACTCTTCACCCTTTTGTGAATAACCCTGTATGTGTCACCATCATTTTATTGTGACTATGTTTGTCTCAAGGATACTACTCTTCTATCTAGCCTAATACCCTCTTTTTGTACCATACTACAGGGAACTCTTTTTTGCTGCATTACAAGATTTACTGATTTTAAGGAATATACTAGAATTTTGGGCTATGCCTTATGCACACATAGCCCATTGCGAGCTTTTGCTGTGTGGACTTTTATATATGTATTTAACCCATTGGACTCCAGCATGCATCATTAAGAAATGAATACAATTAATGAACAAAAAGTCTTCCCAATCAACTTTTCTGCCCTGGAAATGTTTCTGTCCTTTCCTAGAGAGTCATAGAGATGGCCCACGGGCAGCAACAAGAGATGTGACCAGTTACTTCATGTCACCAGAGGAAAAAGGCAGTAAAGAAGGATTTCTATTATTTGCAGGTCACAGGAGGAGGCAGTGGAGCTGACAATGAAAGTCCTGGATCAGTTCGTACCTGAACCAAGTAGAGGACTTCCTGTCAAGTCAGCAGTCCTATGAACACTGACAAATGAAATGATGTTAATGAGCAAGAAATTCACTCATGCACATCTGAAATCATACTGTAATAGGTTCACGATTGCAGAGCAAGTAAACTGAAGATTAAAGCTGAATTCCAGGCGAATATAAAAGACACAAATGAATGCAGCTGAGAATGCATTGATTCAATATTAAAAGTATTATTTAAATGCATGCAGTGTAGGTACTGAATTTGACCTGGTATCAGCCTCTTGCGATGCCAGTACAGCAAAGCTCAGAGTGAGAGAGAAAGAAGCCGCACAAGGAGCCAGTCAGTTGGGCTGCAGTGCTCATGTGCTGAAAAGAAACATGCTGATAGAAAAAGATAGCAAAACGATAGGAGATAAGTTAATCAATCTGCTGCTTCTCCATCCACTGTCCAGGATAGATAGAAATATAAAACATTTGGTAGGTATAACAGCTGACTTATATGTATAAATTTGTGTATTTAGCTGGTTGCCTGGAGTTCAAGTTTTTGCAATTTTATTTTTAGTCATTGCACATATTAAACGCATGTTTAAAAAAAAGTATTGTCAAATGTAAAATAGTAAAAGAAGTGAAAAGTTACCTGAAACGGAATCACTTAATGTCACTAAAACCCAAAATCCACCTCTCAGAAAGAAAGTGATATTGTGCGAATTCAAAGCTTGCTTTATTGCCGCTATCCTCTAAAGGGAAGAAAGAGCAAAATAAATATATCAGTAAACACAGCATATAATACCATATAGCAACAGCTACAGAATCATCAAAATGTGACTTAAAGCAATCGTTTACATGTTAGATGCCTCATTTCAGATATGACTTGTCTCAGTAACATGGAAGTTAGCCGATGTCACTAAAGTGACACTGCACTCAGAAGTTAAGTTCTAAAAATACATTCAAGCACCTTACCTATTAACACAAATGTATCTTATTTGTGTATCACTCAGCTGTAGATCCTCAAATCATCTCTGAATTGGTGCTGACACTGTCCTTCCTTCTGGAGGGGGGCTACCTTTGTTCCCCATGGTCCCTGTGTGTACTGTAAAGTAATCACAGCCCCAAGCTCGCTCGTGTGATGGACTTCAATCTCAATACATATTAGTAAACCAACATGAGATTGTAGTCCATCACAGGAGTGAGCTTGGCTACTTTACAACACACACAGGGACCATGGGGAACAAAAGTAGCCCCCCTCCAGAAGGAAGGACAGTGTCAGCACCAATTCAGAGATGATTGGGGGATCTACAGCCGAGTGATACTCAAATAAGATAAATTTTTTTTAAGGTACTTGAATGTATTTTTAAGATTTAATTCCTGAGTTCAGTGTCTCTTTAACCGTGCAGGACGTCTGATTTTGCATACCAAGCAGGTTTGGAAATATAACTTTTTGCCTATGTCTTTTTCTGCACTTGAGGAGCTGTCTTCAGAGGCCCAGATCAGGTTAAAAATTGCACTGTACAATTTACATTCAGCCTGTCTGGCTCTGTATTTTACTGCAGGCAAAGACGGAGAACAAATAGGACATGTGCTTTACACGCCATCGTGATTTAATAACCTCAGTGGCAGGAGTTTTAAATGATTATCTATGCAGTGCACTGTTGTAATCACTAGAGACTACAAACTGCTAGAAGGAAGCAGCCTCTGCATACATTGAGCTACAGTGTACAGCAACCTGTCTCCAGACCAGAGTTGAGTAGGAGGAGGGCATCAAGGATCTATCTAGATGTGCATTCTACTGTCTACAATTGCAAGTCTTAAATCCCATGGTACAGGATGATCTGATTGCCTACTTGTGCTACTTCTTCCTCTTACTCTCTAGCCCTGCTGTGCAGGTACTGCAAGAGGCTGATATCATGTCAAAATCAGGTACTTACACTGATAGCATCTTAAAAATACATTTAATGATGTCATAATAATTACAGATCTGCGTTGACTTAAGTCTTTTATATCTGCTTGTTCAGCTCTAAGTAAATTATGCAGGAGTTGACTGCTCTTAGAAGTATGTGATCTCCAATGACTACATGACTGCAGTTCAGCACAGAAATAATCATCTACATCTCCTGGTGCTGAAGACACTGAGGGACATTTATCAATTCTGTTGCACAGAAAAGCGATGCTAAACAGGAGCAGTGGGACAGATTGGCTGCCAATTTACTGCAAAGTTACAGCTCATGTCATAAACTCCTCCCTTAACTACTCTAAAGTAGCACTGTGACAGAATACAACCTGACCCTGATCGCTTCCTAATTATGTATCTGTTTAAAGTGAAAATCTGCCCAATCTCCAGTAATAACTTTGCAAACTATTCCAGTTGGCTGCCCAGGAATACAGATGCACAGGTCAGTATAACTGCCACAGAGACTTTGCTGAACAAGATGCAGCCATATTTGCAACCAATTGTGTCACTGATTTGAGTTTAAAAAGGGTGTGTCTCTGAGTTGCTTGATAAATACCCTCCACTGAATCTAACAGGAAAGTTGAACAGATGCCTTTCTTGTTTTCAGTCTGTATCTGCAGTTACAGTGCAACTGCAGACAGAATGAATGTAAGCTAAGCAATGTTTATTGGTTATGCGTTCTTAGTTCCTAATACCATTGGCTACTTTAAATAGCTATGCCTTAATTACACCTCTGCACACAAGACATCTGGCCCTGCTGCTAAGGGTGGCCTGCAATTGATTTTTCTATACACCAAACACTAAACAAGTAAAACAAAATCTATTAAAAAAAAAAAAGAAATGAAAGGAAAAATGCATCAAATATTATATATGATTTTTTACTTTGCAAATTGAAATTGATATCTGCAATACACAGGAAGTTAAACTGAAAGCCCATCAAACCAAATTAATTATCTTCTATCTTTAATTAAATTTATCAGTAGTCTGTGAAGGAAATGGTAAAAAAACCTCTGCATGGCACTCTAAAGCAAAACATGAAACCAGACATTCATCCTGCCATCGATTTAAAAGTGATTACCTAAAACAATATCATTGCAGGATAGAGTGTTAATTCATTTAGGTAACAGCGTCGCTTCAACAACATAATTCCGCAATCAAAACATAATTATGGCGGGATGAGGGAAAACAAAGCTTCACATCTATTCAGCCTTTTATCAGCAACAACAAGCATTTCATTAATCTTCACTAAGAAATGATTTCACTGAACACAGTTTACAAATGAGAAAGTGCTGTTTGCATTGAATAATTCCTGCCTAATGTGCACAATATTAATGGCTGGTTTAATGAATTTATCACCTTCAAACGGCTATTTCAGCTTTCAAGCACAGAATTTACGAAGGACTTTGAAAAACAAATATCCTTACAGGATATGTGTATCACTTCAAGTGCATTGTTTTGAGCTGCTGCTCCTCGGAACCTGAGATAGCCATTAGGGTTAAATAAGAATGCCCGATCTCCGCCAGCAACTCTGATATTGGCTTGACTGAATGAGCTATGGCAGCTGCATATCCACCTTCGACTGAGCCAAACCAAAAGCTGGGAACAGGGGAATTTTACCGTCTGAAGAACTCCAACCAAAACTTTTTCTTTTTTTTAGAGCTATACAGTACGTGCAGGCAGTGAAAGTACGTTTTTAGTAAACTGGGGTGTCTTTCTGAAGCCCAGATGAAGCGGGATTTATTTGGCCCTAAAACATGTTTGCTGTCTTTTGTTACCCTTTTCACACCAGTAGAATCATTAAAATATAGTCTTGGACTCTTGATATGTGTGTTCGGCGTTCATTCCAGTACAACTACACATAGATTTCCCAATCCCGGTGACCCCCTATATCAGGAACACCCCCGCTTTGTGGGGAGCAGCCAAACCCAGGCTAACTAAATGAGGGCTTTTCACCCACAAAACAAAGAATTGGGTACAGCTCCTCGTCTTTACTCAAGTTTTTACTTCTGACTGGGTCCCCTACTGTTCTGATTTCTATTTACTTTCTATCCTGGTGACACCCTGTTACGTTACTTGTATAGTATTTTTTATTATGTATGGGATAATGTAACCTCTGCTAAATTAAGACCATATTAAGAATCACCAAGTAGTTGAATTGCTATAGGTTATCCCATAGATGTACAAAAAGCTAAAACCTAGGAAGTGAGAGTAAGTGTTGGCTCTATCTCCATTCTTGAGTGGCTTCGGGAATTGTGGATCTTGGTTGTAAGCTTGGCCATTGTAAGCATGTGCAGTTAAGAGTATTCCAGGGACACATGGTGGCAGACCCTGTCAAAGCGCATATTTTAAATTCACAGTCTGCCGTTGAATCAATCCAACAGCCGAATGTGACTGGATAGTTTCAGTGCCAGAACTATGCAGTCATATCTGGCCAATGGATTGATTCACTGGGCCGACTGTGGCACATCATTCTGCACCATGGGTCGTTCAATCTGCTTGCTGACGGTGACTCGAATGGTCACATTTTTTATATACAATTTATATAAAACAAAGTTTGAAGCCAATCACCAGCATTTGCTAACAGTTTGCAGAGCGCAGGATGTGAGTGACACTTTTAAAAATCCTTATTTGCAGTGTGCTTCATACACAGCAAATGTGTATGGGGAAGAGTGACTGGGAAGGAACGAACATTAATAATCACTGGTAACAACAATGATTAGCCATTTAGAGACATAGAATGCTTATGAGTGATTGGTGCCTTTGAATGTAATATTAGTCATATTTTGAATATGAAGACCTGTACTTCCCATTAATGACTGAGAAATTCAGATGGTGTTGAACACACAGGTGAATGTGTGCCAAGACTAAAAAAGTTTTGACTTTAGGTATAATTTGCAAAGCTCACATCGAATCGTTCTTGTTCAAATTCATCCCCCATGGCACCAGCGATTGGATATTTTCAGGGCCCATTTAGATTTAGGCATGTGTGTAGAGGTGCATTTTTTTGTAGCATTAGGCAGTTGAGTTGTCATGCCTCAACATGCATTTCCTTTGTGCAATAACATGCATTTTGATGTGTGTTGAAACACGTTATCAATGTGTTTTTGAATTTAGAGTGCTTAGGTTTAACAGCCATTGACCAAGACATGTAAATATCAGTTGTCAACTCATCAAAACACACGTTAAATGCATTTTGATGGGTTGCCATTGATGTTTCTGTATTTGTTTATATACTGTATATCTTTTATATATAAAAGTATATATAAAATCTTTTATATCTGTTTATATATCTTTGTTTCTATAACAGAGGATATGAAACATAAATGTTCATCGATGCAATTTTAAACTAAAGCTGTAAAATTCTCTTCATTTATTTGTGAAGGGATTTATTTTCCATTCCTGCTGTGTACCTTGTCATTAGGAATGCTCCTCTTCCTCTTTGGCTGGTTTGTAGACGGCAGGAGATACAAATCAGCCGTTGTTGGCAGTCCCGGTTTTACAACGGTCACAAGACTTTGTTCTGGAATGTTAGTTTCCTGTAAATATTCCAAGAAAATATTCCCTGAGTATTGGATGATGATCCGGTACACACTTACAACAGAAATCAGTCTGAACAACAAATAATTTAGGAATAAATAAATCTCCATTGAAGTGAACCTGTAAATTGTCCATGCAGGAAAAAGCAGGAAGTGCACTAACTCCAGAGAGAACTGTTTATTTAGTTTTGGATAGAGTGGGGAAGAGTTAGGGTTACTATAAGGTTTTTATGTCCATCTGTCCCACTTTAGTTCCTGCGCACGTTATTTCAAGGTCTGTGTCCCTCTAACAGGGAGAAAGACAAAAAAACTATTTTTAGTGGAGTGGACAGGGGGTTAAAAGTAGGGATGCACGGATACTAGTATAGGTATCGGTGCCAATACTGAGTATTTGGCAACTACTCGTACTCCCCCAAATACTCCGATACCTTCCCTGATACCGGAACTTCCAGTCATAGGGAAATTTCCTTTGACCGGCAGTGCCGCGAGGGAACATGGAGCCGGCTTCCCGGGCAATCAGGAAGCCAGGAGGCGGGTAATGACCGCTTCCCGGATTCCTGATTGGCTGGGAAGCCGTCTCAATGCTGATTGGGTGATGTCGATTGGAACCCGCTCCTGGATTCCTGATTGGCCGGGAAGCCACCTTGATGCTGATACCCGGCCAATCAGCATGGAGCTGGCCAAAAAACATGGAGCCAGCTTCCTGGGCAATCAAGAAGCCGGGTGGCGAGTACTTACACGCCGCCTAGCTACCTGATTGGCCGGGGAGCAGGCTCCATGCTAGCGGAAGTACCAGTATCGGTACTCAGTATCGGAGAGTACTGAAATATAGATATTGGTATTTAAACTCGATACCGAACCAGTATCGGTGCATCCCTGGTTAAAAGCCATGGTGATGATTTACTAAAGCAATAGACTGGAAGAGGGTTCAGTGACCCACTGTCGGCAGATACTGTAACTGTTTTTTTCTAATGCCTTTGAATTAGTTGATAGGCTATATTGTCTGTTGCCTCCTATAGAGTTCTCTTTTATATCTAAATGATGACTGTGCCTTGACATGGCTTATTCTCGCATTTAACATGGAGTTCTCCCAGTTGCTGCTGTAACTGCTTTCAGGGATTGTGGAGGCCCTATTAAATCCATTTGCTTTGATACTGGTGTTTTGGTGAGTGTTGGGTGCTAAGCGCCCTGTCTGGCTTCCCACCCATCTCCCTGATCTCATGGGTTGCCAGAGATGAGATGGAAGCTCTGGCTGGCATCCCGCCAAGCTCCTGGCAACCGGTGATGTCAGTGAGTTGGGTGGGATCAGACAGAGATCGGCTGCGTCCACCCACCGGGGGACTGCTATCAGCAGCACCCTCCTTCTCTACGGCCTATAGGGTAGGGACAGCCCTTCCTATCGCACATGCATCTTTACATTCACATACTAGTATAAACCTCAGTGTTTTAATTACAATATGTGACTTCCTATTCCAGTGACAATGGCAAGAAATAACATTCCTACAGAAATTTTAACCCTTCCAACTCTGTCCACAACTGTAAATCAAAATTCTGGCTGGCACCTTCTCTGCACCTGAAAATTCGGGTTGTGTCTGAGCTAGTAAAAGCAATGACTGCTTGTGCTGTGCTCTACTTATGAATATCAGCTACGTATATATTCCATATTGCAGTGCCAGGGATCTAGGAAATCACATAGGGAACGTGGTGGTACTGTTTCTTTAATGGCCCTCATTCTGTTTTCACTTCTTAAATAAGTTCAAGGGTTTTTATTTTGTAAATGATGCTGTACTTTAACTTCCGCTGTCCTTTTAAACTGTCAATATGAGTTTACATAAATAATATTTCTGTATAGGTTGGACGAAGAACCTGCCAAGAAGAAATGACCATAAATCGACTTTTAATCAGGCCTGTGTCTGAGGCAGGCCCGACATTCACAGTTAAGCCAAGCGGACAGCAGGCTGATATAAGATTTCAGGAGCGGACTGTAGTCTGCTAGACTGAGATCTTTGCTTTGGAGAAGATCTCACACTATTTATCTTTTGACAATAATAAGAAGTGATCTGTAATTCACATTCTGGATAAGGGAGCTGTATATTTCTTAATCGCATTCCCAGATAAACATCTTTTCCGCCAGTATTTGGGTGCAGTTCTGCCAAGGAGGACATCTTTGCATATAAATCATGCTACTATTTTCCTGGGGTGGAACCAATTAATATAGAATGTGGCTGATACTTTGAAGGTGGAAAAAACTTAGCAATGAATTGGAGATGTAGCCCATAGTGTCCAATCAGAATTCTTGTTTAACGTCTGTTCTCTGATGACTAACATTCCTTTGCATAGTGCTCTGTGGGGCGGGAACATACAGCTATGTTCTGTTTTAGAATGAGCACGCTGCCCGTTCAGTTCCTGCACCAGGGGCGTCCCTACACTTTTCACTGCCTGAGGCCAAGTGGTAAGGGGCACTGGCAATACATGTTAGCAGGGAGGTTTTGGGGGGTGTTGGCGGCGCATGTTACTGATACCTCCTGTCCGGCGTCCTGTCCAGCTCACTGATGTCACTGGTTCACAGAAGTTGGATGGCAAGAGTGTCACGGGTTACTTAGAGTTCTTAGCAACCTAGGATGCTCTGGCCTGAAAGGGGCAGCAGACACACCTAACCCTCACATGACCCAATGAGATGCCGCCCGAGGCAACTGCCCCAGGCTGCCTTATTACAGGGTCGGCCCTGCTGACAGCTGTCTAGCAAACTAGCCATTGGGAACCAATCACTGTGGTTACCAATCATGTTAGTACCATGTCAGCTCTGACATGATGATCACATGACTGAAAGTGACAGCTTCAGGAGTATTTGTGCACTCCCAGTGTAGAAAGAAATACTTTATTAACCACTTCGCGTCCGGAGCAATTTCTTTATGTTTGTACATGCTTGTTACTGCATAAAACCCTCAAACAATTATATATTTTGTGAAAGCAGAGGCTATGTAAAGCAGAAAAATGCTAGTTGCAATTTTTTATATATTTGCGCAAATGTCTATCAAATCAATATGTTTAGGAAAAAACCACTAAAATACATGTTAGTGCACACAAACAGAATATAATAGACATTTTATAGTAAAATAAAAAAGATGGGGTTGCGTTGGGTAAATAGATCGCAAACATGCAGATCCTCAAAATTGTAAGCGCCCATGAAATGGCAAGAAACTACAATAACCAAAATTGCCTTAAATGCTTTAAAAGCCTTTAGTTCTCATCAATTTAGAGGTAACAGTGAGCGATGGCGATGGAATTATTGCTCTCACTCTGACGTTCATGGTGATATGTAATATGTGTGTCACAATCGCCATTTTTGCCACTTAGGTGCACCAGACACGTGTTTGCATTTGTATGTGCATGTATGCAGGGGTGAGGAGCACCTAATTTTATTTCTATCACATAGAGGAGCTAATAAGCCACCTATGTGATAGCATAGAGGAAGGTCCTCTTTATGGAGATAATAGGGGTCTGTTAGACCCTTAATGTCATCTATGGACTTAAAAGAAGCCAATGAAGCACAGACTGTGCACAAATCGAATATATACAGTATATATATATATATAGTATATCTTATTTCTTTTTCTTCAACAATAGCTCCATACAATAAAAGTGTTGCAAATAGGAACTACTTGAATTTGTTGCATGCATTGGTATTAACAATAAAAATGGTTATCATGAATGTGGCGCAGAGCTTTTGACTACATACGCAACAGTAGAAATGTACCACAAATGTCCTTTTGAATTCCCTAATACTGTTACTATATTAAATCTAGAAGTGTCATCAACTCTGTCATTAAAATGTATTGGAACATTTTCTGTTTAGACTGCGATTCATCTTAAAGATCATTTATTTATGAATAATGGAGTTTAATTTAATCTTTTTATGACAAGTATATTGTACCTTCATGATAAATGGTTTTTAAACTTGTCTCAAATTCACTGTAACAGCGGTGACTTGCCAGACTCACGTACATTTGTGTTTAGCTAAGGCCTGTGATGTGCAATTGAACGATTAATCAACTGCCTGGAAACATTCATAAACTGAGGCCACGCAGTGCTAATAATCCGAGATGCCTTCATACACAGCTAGAAAGATTTCATGTACTGTCAGCAAATCCTGAGCCACTGATAAAATCAATATAAGCAAAACACTCTGAAGGACACCACTTAGCTGTGATTTAATGCATTCCTCTACCCTGACATATATATTTATGTGTGGTACTCCTGCTAGCAGTCACCATTTTTATGTTCCAGCCCAATTTTTTACATTTTGTATAGAGTGGTGAAGAGCTAAAATTTCATCCTGTCAATTACTCCATTGTCCCTGGGACAGGAAGTCACAGACAGCAATAAAAACATTGTGAACGTTCTAACCAGGCCTTTCTCAACCAGGGTTCCTTCAGAGGTTACTAGGGGTTTCTTGAGGAGTGATCACCTTCTGCCTCTCATATAAGTAACAACTGACACCGATTATCTCTTTTAGCTATCTGTATGGAGTTCTTTTCACTGACCACCAGTGTAAGGAGCATTCGTCCCACTGGCCACCAATGCAAGGAGCATTCTTCCCACTGATCACAAATGTAAGGAGCAATCTTCCAACTGATCACTAATTTAAGGAGCAGTTTTCTTACTGAGCACCAACGTAAGGGGCATTCTTCCCACTGACCACTAATGTAAGGAGCATTCTTCCCACTGACCACCAATGTAAGGACCATTTTTCCCACCGATCCCAAATGTAAGGTGTAGCCTTCCCACTGACCACAAATGTAAGGAGTATTTTTCCCACGATCACAAATGTGAGGATTATTCTTCCCACTGACCACTAATGTAAGGACCATTCTTCCCACTGACCACCAAGGTAAGGAGCATTCTTCCCACTGGCCATCAATGTAAGGAGCATCACCCTAATTTACTGTGAGCTGCGCATATAGTGATTATTAGTAAATCAAATTATGGCTTTGGGTTGTCAAATCAACTGTTTAATTCTCATAAATATTCAGAAAAATGATTGCATTTGTAAACTATTTGCACATTTCTATCCTTACCAATAGTACTGAAGACCTCCAGGATCTGAAGACTACACATACTTCTATGCTTCTGATTTAAAGATCATCAGACAAAATGTTTGGGTCCTGGCAAGCTTTTGCCTGCAGCTAACTGGTTTGTCAGGGAATCCTTTTATGAGGCTGACAACTGCTATAATTATGTCACAAAGAGGGTGAAAGAGGGGTGAAAGTTGCAGCTGAAGAGATATGTATGGGGGTCATGACCTAAAAGTGGCAAAATGTCATTACAGTAATCTCAAACCAGGGGGCCTGTGACTAACAGCAGTGGTTACCATAAAGATCTATACTAAAAGCTATATGGTATTTACTAAAACTGTTTTTCAAATAAAATATTGCCTCTCTCTGCTCAAAGCTGCAATGTAAGAAGCAACAGATGAGCACAACGATGAAGCAGAGGCTTTCTCTGGTGGGGATTGCTATGGTTTCCTCCGGTCATGATAGGATTAAAGGATGTATTTTTGTGAGTAAACAGATGTTCTGAATCAGCGTCAGTTGGAATCAGTTTTTTTTCACTATTATTTTACGCAGTTCTCACTGTATGGACACAGAATCACCAGCCACACAAGCTAACACAGGTCACCTTCTATTATATCTTTGTAGTTTTTTAACTTAAAGTTTAGATTTATGGTTGGATGCTGCCAAGACTGGTCAGCTCATTAGATGTTGGAAAGAAAGTATTGAGTATTCTGGAACAGAATTCAGAATTTCTCATCCTTATCCTTGAATACCTTTGCAAGCAGACGAGTAACTACTTGTCCAATGTCTTCCCTCCACTCGGGGATGTTGGGATTGTACATATCCAGATGTTTGCTGAACATGAGTGGAAGAACTTGGAATTCATCTGAAAAACAGCATGATGCACAGCTGAGCAGTAAAGCACTATAGATTCTTTCTCAGGCATTACTTTAAACATCCATAGCATAAAACAGCAGGACTTTATTTAAAGGAAAACCCCACCTTCACCCTTATACCATATTCCCCGTCCTTTTCTTTTTTCAAGAGTCTGTTCATTGCAAAGATCCTCCCTTTTTTTCTAACATTGCAAGTCCCAAGGAGATGGTGCCTCTGTCATGTTAGAAATCTTCTAATTTGACATCAGGACCCACAATGCAACGCCTAAAGTAAACATGTGCTTCGTCCATTCAAGGGAAGAGCAACAAGCTTGCTTTAATCCCCCCACGCTAGCATATACTTATATTTCCTTCACTCGCCCCCACTCCATTCGGTACTGGGAGCCAAAGGAAATATCCAATAATTCTGGGCATGGAGGAGCATTTTACTGACTTCAGATAACTGCCTATCAGTGCTGTCACTTGAGGTGTCAATAGCCCTGTGCAAGTTACAACCCAAAAGACTCAAAACTTGCACAACACTTTGCTTCACTTTGCAGCAGATTGTAGCTTCCCTGCTAGAGAAAAGTTACAAACATGTAGTAAAATATCATTTCCTTTTATGTAACTAAATCCGCCTTCAGCCTGCCTCCTAATAAGTTATCTTACTCAATAGGTTGAATTCTCAAGCCACTGGAGTTGCATATGGCATTCCGAGTGTGGCAAAGATAACGTATCTGGTACAATGATCATGAAGCATGGAAAATAGTAGGGCCGCATGCTGCCTTTACATGCACATAAGTCCGCAGGTTAAACATATCCTATATATATTGCCTGGAGTTTAGCATTAAATGCAATGTGGTTTTACAGTCGAAGCACCTAGTAGAAGATGTGTGCTTTGCTTGGCACAATAAGCTACCAGGTTAGGTTACAATACATGCAAGTTACATTTCTCTTATCTAGCTCTGTATTTAATTACATCTGTAATAAAATGAATGTCTGTCTCACCAAAAACTCGGACAACTTTGGAATCTTGCAACATGGAGTTTAGGTAGAGGACCTGCACCGTCACCCTGAACTCTCCAGCCTCTGCAAACTTGGTCACAAGGTAACTGTCCAGTGTCAAGAAAGGCTGCAAAACAAAAGACAACATGAGATGTCACACTGCATTGTGCTTCTTCCTGGGGCTCATCCAAACTTCTGGACTTCAGCAATAAACTGAACATAATAGACAATATGAGACGAACTGACTACATGGACAGCCATTATCCCTTATATGACGACATGTGACTGAAGTCTAGATACCCAGACCAAATTAAGCAACATCAGCATGCTCTATCCTTTAACTAGACAATAGCACAAAGTAGGGATGCACCAATACTCATAACAGTAGTATCGATATCAGTGCCGACACTATGCATTTACACAAGTACTTGTGGAAATGCCCAAATACCAAAAACCGATACCCATACCTTGGTCCCGCTGTTGCTAGGGACCTTGCAGCAGCCTTCTTGGGAGCCACCTAGTGCCGGCCCGCACATCTTCCCCTGCTGAGACCCTCCGAATATCTCCCCTTATTGGTATTGGCGAGTACTTGAGGACAAGTATCGGTACTCGTACTTAGTGTGGGAAAAAATGGTATTGGTGCATCCCTAGCACTAGCATTAATTTAACTTGACAATAGCACTAATATTGACATGGGTATTTAGGCATCAATGACTCCTCGTCAATATTAAAGTGGACCTTTATCCCCTTTGACTAAAAATCACATCAGCCTACAGCTCTGCATGCTGATATGAAATCATCTTACATTCATTAGCTGAAGAAACATATTTTTATTTTACTTACAGTTTCTTTTTTCCCACTTCCTGAGCCACTTTGGCACAAATGATGTAATGTGCCCAAGTACTGCATCCTGGGAAGGTTATATCAGCAAAGCATTGCTGGGAAATCTCATCTGTAATCTCAAGAGATTTCAGGAAAAGGCATTTTCCTCCCCTGAGATGATATGCATGTTCACATATCCTAGTCACCTGTGCCAGAGTTCCAGCAAGTGAAAGGAGATCTAGTAATTGTTCAGCCTCTGCATCAGCAATCGCAACATTATATAACTGCAAACCTCAAATTACACTAAAAATCGGTTTTCATTCCTGGCCTGTTGTTACATGCAATTTGGGACATGGGAAAACTCTATAGAGAACAAAGGCAGTCCTCCTCTTCGGATTAGCTATCTGGCTCTGCTAATAACAGGCCGGCTGTTGGCTAAACTTTCCTATTGGGCCTAGGGCAAATGATCATTATTGCCTTTTAATTAAATTGGACCAAAACTTTAGAATCAAATCCAGAAGCAGGGGACCAGGTTCCTAGGGCAGCAAGGTAACAGGAAGCATCAAAACACAAGATTTACACATACTTTTATCCAGACCCCTCTGGGGAACTGCAGGTAAATCCAGCAATAGAGCTGAAAGTCCCAGTTTTACTATAAAACAGACTCTTGATTGCTGAATAATGCAATTTCTTCCCTTCCTAGATACACCCAAAGATGATGAATCACATTTTAACCTCTGCTTGCTGCTTTATTTCCCTTCAGGAGTTACACAATCTTCAAGAATCCATTACATGGATTACAAGAGACCTGAAACACATGGCAACCCAACTCCAGATGAGTTCATTATGGATTCCCAAAAAGAAAAAATGTTTATGCCCTTTCTGTTGGTATTACAATTTCTATAAACAGATTAACGTCACTTTGGGAAGCGGCAATTGGGGGTGTATGAAGACCATTTATACATAAATAAATGGTCCATATAGTGACCTTGGTGCAAAATTATTTACTACAAGGTAATTGCAAAGCACTGTTTACTTCTAGAATATGGGGTGTAACCTTCAAACCTACGAAAGGTTTCTTCACAGCTGTGAAAATGTGGAATAGGCTTCTACAGGAACAGGCCAGCTCAGGTAATAGTTTTAAGTCATGTAGATGCATTCTTAAATGCACAGAATATAACTAGATATTACAATTTATAAGTAACAAACACCAGAGTTGATCCAGGGAATATCACATTGCCTTAGGAAATCAGAAAGGATTTTGTTTCACTGTTGAAGAAAATTAAACCATGTTTTATAGGGTTTGTTTTGCCTTTCTTTTGATTAACTGTGGGTATTGGGTTTTGTTCATGGATGTTTTTTAATTTTTTTCCTTCTTCATCCCGACTAAATACAGTATCTCACAGAAGTGAGTACATTTTGTGGTGGCCACACAAAATATTGACACTTTGGGCCCAATTTGGACATTTTCACTTAGGGGTGTACTCACTTTTCTTGCCAGCGGTTTAGACATTAATGGCTGTGTTGAGTTATTTTGAGGGGAAAGCAAATGTACACTGATATAAAAGCTGTACACTCACTAGTTTACATTGTAGCAAAGTGTCATTTCTTCAGTGTCGTCACATGAAATTATATAATAAAATATTTACAAAAATGTGAGGGGTGTACTCACTTCTGTGAGATACTGTATGTAACTTTATGCCCACCTGTAGTAAGATACTTTGGGTTCTGTCATTTCAAGATTGTGATATGTTCTCTACGCTCTGTATTAATTTTGCCTTGTACATCATGGAAATCTCATATATAAACTATTAAATTTAAAAAAAATATAAATATATATCTATATGTATATAATATATATTTATTCATTTATTTTTCTATTTTTTAAATTTTTTATTTCACAATTTTTCTTTACAATTTAGTTTTTTATCCGGTGGTCTAGATCTGATCAGTGGAGACCTGATCTAGTTTCCCCACAAAGCTGTACAACAGAAGATCCCTTCTAATAGTGATTTATTACTGGCTGCAATCAGCCAGCAATAGATCACTTTAGCAGTGATCTGTTACTGCAGGGAGGTGCTGGACAGAAATATAACACCTCTGTCCTGGACTCTAATGAAAACAGAATGCAGGAGCATTCTGTTTTCATTTGTTTTTATGGCATGCTTGTAGTGGAGTGAGCTGTAGAAGCATCAGAAGCCATTTACACTGGAGCACAGCTATCAGGGACAATTGGTGGCCTCAGCGCTTATGCCTGCAGCTGCCTCCAGGAGCCACTGAGGCCACCTGCAATAATAAAAAAAAAAATGTGACAAATAGCTACTATTCAAGCACCATTTTAAAATGATAATTGGGACTTAGATGGTTAATAAACAGTTAATAACCGTAAAAAAGCCCTAACTGATCTATTTAGTTACAGTTACTTTGGAGTAATAATTCCTTAAACTTCACAGGAGGACCACTGAAGCCTGGTTTCATCACTCTGCTCCCTCCCCTCTTTGCTGTGCACCTTCTTTGTGTTTGCATTAGAAATTAGAAGGCTGGCTGGCTGGCTGGCTGCTAATTTACTGCTATGGGGGCTACAGACAGAAGGTGAAAGTAAAAGTGAGAAGTGCCTACTGCAAAGAGGACAAATTATTCCACAGTGCCTACAGCTACCAAGGTCAGTGAGGGTTTGTTTTAAAATCTATTTACTGCTTGCTGAGAATATGGGAATATTTCAATGCCCACAGCCTGGACAAAGTTGTACTTTAACCAATAATGGATGACAACAAATGAAATCATAGGGTTTTACCTGTAGGTTATCTCCAATCCACCAGTAATAGACAGAGAGGTTGGCGTTGTTAGGTTGGATGACAGCTGACAAATTTACTGCTTGGTTTTTGCCGGCCACTGGCACTACCTCGAGATGGACGGCTTGGAGAGGAGCTGCAAAACAATAAATGAAGCTCATGTTTTTCACAAGTACTTCCCACAGCATGGCATCATTGAGACATTCTCCTTTTAAAGACAAAAAAGACTAGCAAAAGTGAAAAATCAGTTCCAGTGCCTGCTTCTTGCATCTAAATGGGCCACAGAACACAACTCTAATGTAGTTTCAGGAAAAATAACAACCCTTTCTGTGAAAAAATTTTTTATATTCATGTCTCTAACTGTCAGGTTCATGCGAAAGTATATTTTCGAGCCTGCCCTATGAAAACTTCTTCTCAGAGTGTTATAGCTGGTTATAGTTATGGTACAGCTTGGGCAATTCATACCCAAGATGAAGGAAAAACTTTAGCTAGGTGGAGATTGACACACTTTGCACATAAGATTTAATTAGAAAAATGTGTGAATCTTGGGGGAAAGCTGTGTATTGGGTAACAACATTGATACACTGATCCCCCCCCCTTTTTTTTTTAGTAATGTAATAGCAGAGCAATCCAACAATGGTATTGTTGGATAGGATATGTGATCAAGACACCCAATAAATAAATAAAAAATCATATATTATTGAAAAAATAACCGATCTTTATTTATGTATTTTATTTAAAGTAATACAAAATAGTAAATATTCATGCTCACAATAAACTAAGTTAGTGACTGCATTATAACTTAAATTATAGCTACAGCCAAAACTTATTTTTGCCATTTTGTATAGAGGCATTGTTGAAACCCCTGACAGGCTATTTAGCCATCTGTGTCTCATTTCAGAGATTCCCCTTCACTTCCTGCCCTGTACAGTGTACATACAAAGGAAGTGAAGGGAAACCTGTCCAAAGTGAAGTAAATCTCGGACAACTGTCACAGGCATAAGTGTCCCCATTGGAAGATTTTTTTCTCTCTTCCTGTTGTTGTTCCTGGTAACAACTCTAAATCTCTACTATTAAGCCCATGATTGGGTGAAACGCATCAGTGAAGGGTGGACCTGAGGAGGGACACAGTGTTGCTGTGTGATCTCTAATAAACTTTCCAGCATTACATGGTATGTGGCTGGCCTTTTTTTAGATTGAGTGCGAGTGAGTGCTGGAGCACTCTTACCGGTGGGCACCCATCAATTTCTTCCTTCTGCTTGGTCGTGGAGGAGCGGTGTGGTTGGTTTTTGCTATGAACGTCAAATTGTGGATGTCCCCTCAGGGCCCATTCACATTAGTCTGGTCTTATGTGTTGCGTCAAATGCATGTGGGTTAACGCATGTTAACATGCATTATTTTAGGGCAGCCCACCCCCTTACCTGGGTGTCGATGGGCATGGCGCGGTGTATAAGCTCCTTCCAGTAGTGCCTTAGTGCCCGGTGGCGGCAGAGTTGTGGGTACGCGCATGCGGACGTGACGTTGCCGTGACCTATTAGTCAATTCCGGTGCTGGTCATTAGCAGGGAGGGCCTTGTTCACACGCCTACCTCTCCTCGCCATCCCATTGGCTCCCGGGGGCTGGAAGCCTCCTCGTTGCTCTCATAACGGGGGTATTTCTGGTCCATGCTGGGTATAAATTCCAGCCAGATACAAACTTGTTGCTGAGTTATTCTGCCTGCATCCGATGCAGCTATGAAGCGTTACTTCCTTTCTCCTTTTCCTGCTTTCCTTCCCCGCTATTCGGATTCCCTGGTTATTGACCCCCGGCTTGATTCTTCGTTTTTTTATACCTGCCGCCTGCCTCGACCTGAACCGTATTCTGAGGGTGCTTTGTGGACTCTCCATATTGTACCTTCATCTAGGACTTGCATCCCAGTGCTGTTCTCTGCTATTGGGTTCCACTTCAGAATACAGGGATACTCTGCCCCCGACATATTCTAGCTCTAAACCTACAACCTAATGCTGGTCTAATCATAAACAAGCTTTTAAGTGGTAACTTTGTACAAAAGGGCTAGGTGAAGATAACATGAGAATTTCTTGAAGATTCCAAGCCTGTTCCAAGGTGTCTAATTTATTTCTATGCTAGAACCCAGTTTCGACTAGACGGATGCCATTGGCATGGCACTAGCAGCCACAGATGGCTCTCGTGCTGTTCAAATGGTATTCACCCAGTTATAAACTGGGTGAAATGTTTTTAAATAAACCTGTTTTTGTTTGGTCACAGGGACACAATCAGCAATAAAATCCTAACAGATTATTATAATTATTATTATTATACAGGATTTATATAGCGTCAACAGTTTGCACAGCACTTTACAATATAGGGAAGACATTATAATTACAACACAATTCAAGACACAATGGTAAGGAGGGCCCTGCCCGTGAGGGCTTACAATCTAAGATTATATCCTTTCAATCACCTCTGCAAAACTACAAAAAGTTCTGGCTGGAATTCAATTAAAAGTTAAGTGGAAGTCTGCTAAATTTAGTTAAGATAAGTTTTGACCATCTTTGTTATACTGTTATCTATTTCTCTCACAAATGAATTATGCTCAAACTGTTCACTTAATTAGTCATTGAAATCACTGCATGAAGCCTGCAGATTATCTTATATTAGACTTGAGCTTCAGGGCTGTAATTGCATTGTTTGTGCAGGGACTAATTCCAGGATAAGTGCTCTCCTTTTTAAGTGGCCAGAGAAAGTTTCCCTCCGGCAGAGCTAATGATATGATTAATAACTTGGCAGCAAGTGATTGATAAAAATACCACATTATTGATGATCTATATCCATGTTGGAATGGCGGAACACCCTTCACATGTCAGGTTAGGTTCCTGCAGTCTTGTAAGGTTATACATGCCATATGGAAACACTAATGAGTGAATGATAATAGATTTCAAAGGCAGGGTGACATCACTGGCTAATATTTGTCTTTTGTGCATAGCATCTTGATTCATTTAAGGCAACAAAATGCAAACTGGATAACAGGAGAGTATAAAATATCTAACTAACCACACTGAACAACTCAAAGTGATTTAAATGGTAAGAATGGTCTAGCCAAGCTGACTTGGCCATGGGCAGGATGGTCTTTAATGGGGTTTTAATTTTTTTACAAGAATACCATTTCACAAAACGGCCATCTTAGTCTGTAATAAAGGATATAATATATATGGCCAAAGGGTAATTTAGCCTCTTCTTGTATTCTTTGAAAACACAATTGTATCCTTTAGAATTTTGATGTGGCCACATTACAACTATGGCCACATTACAACTATGGCCGCATTACAACTATGGCCGCATTACAACTATGGCCGCATTATAACTATAGCCGCATTACAACTATGGCCGCATTACAACTATGGCCGCATTACAACTATGGGCGCATTACAACTATGGCCGCATTACAACTATAGCCACATTACAACTATGGCCACATTAAAAATCTGGTTGTTTGGTGTTAAAACCAAACTTTCAAATTATAAGGCTCAGAAAGCGCATCAATAAAATCTGTGCATTTAAACTAAAATGGCTGATCATGAACCCTTCCACCAGGCGTTTAGGCAATTTCTATGCTCCTCAGTGTCATCTAGTGGTGGTAGTGCTGTGAGAATGGCATCTGCCCAGCTATACACTGGGCAAAAGGGTTATAAATCAATTCCAAAGAGTTCTCAGTATGAATGGTAAAAGCTTAACTCCAGGAAGATTTAAAATGCATGACTTGACGTAGCTCTGTATTCATTAATACATCAATAAATTATTTTTTTAAACAGCAAGCACTGTAAGTACTTGCATTTGAATTTATATCAATCCCATGCAATCCACTGTGTAGCTGAGCTTAGACTGGGAGAGGAGAAGAAGCATGAGGAACCAGTCAGTTATGTTGGACTGCAAATTTGATTACAAAGAACATGTTGATCGAAGGAAAGAGCACATTGGCAGAGACATTAGGTCATCATTGTGCTGCTTCTCCTTTGCTATCCAGTCACAGACTGGGGGTGGGACCTGTAAGTGGTACAGAACTGAGAAGCAGAGAAAAAGCAAGTCTTATTGCCCAGCCAGACAGGGCTGGGATCTGTAAATCTCAGAAATGGATGAACAGAAATATAAATCAGTTTGCAGGTTAATTAGATCATTTTATGTGTGTATTTATCTGTTTGCCTGGAGTTCAGCTTTAAAGAAAAACCCCTTCAGCATGCTTGGGTTCCTCTTTACATACAGTGCAAACATTGCATAAATACTATACACTATTAACATATGTTTTGCACAGAATAAAGATTGCACCCACTCTAGCAATAAAACACAAAAGTAAGCCTCCTTTTCCAGAATGCAATGAAATACATAAAATATCAATGAATATGCCCATGCCCTGCAATATTTCTAGACAGCTTTCAGTGTATCAACATATGCTTTGATTTAATGTCCTTATGTGTGCAGTCTTGGATTAAATAACAGAGATGTAATTTGCTGGCAGAATGTACCACTGGTAGAGCCAACAAAGAAACACACTCCCAATAATTATTTGGCTGCTTGTGGAATATATTCATACAATTACTTACGTGCTTCAATACTCTATATTGTTTTATTTCTCTGTTAGAAATCATCTAATTGAATGTGTTATTCTAAGCAGAGGCTATAGTAAATTGCTAACATTAGGCAGCCATGAGATGGTTTATATTTCATATATATACATAAATTGTTTTTATTCTCCATTGGGATGAAAGGACTAGTAACCTAAAACATACACTTCCTTTCTATGAAAAATATTACTGATCATATTGCGGCTTGTAGGAGTAAAGGGAAAGGACATCAAATGATGTTATAAAGGACACCACATGTGGTCGGCCCATGGTGTGATAGAAAAGACCACATGTGGTCAGCCGATAATGTGACAGAGGAGATCACATGATGTCAGCTGCCGGTGTGGTAAAGGAGATTACATGAGGTCAGCCAATGGTGTGATAGATGGGATCACATGTGGTCAGCAAATGGTGTAACAGAGGAGATCAAAAGGGGTCAGCCAATGGTGTGATAGAGGAAAGCACATGTGATCAGCCGATAATGTGATAGAGGAGATAACATGGGGTCAACTGATGATGT